TCGGTTTAGCACTTGGACCAATTGGTTGAATGCCTCCGCCAAAACAGTTCTTGGGCCATCACCATACTTGCGACATGGCTTGCTGTCCGCAAAAAAGATCCAACAAATCAAAGGGAAGTTGGTCAACGCCAACAGGGGCCTCCATCCATCCAAGTAGTAAGACCTCAGATCTTACAATTTCGAAGGTGTCCGAAATTGTGCCTGTATGGCCTATATACCGGCGTTTTTCGGACACCTCCATTTTTGCGCAATTCATTTCACAGTCCGACAGAAGAGGCCAAGCTATAAGACCCAGACACAGGCGATGAGAACCTGATCGGGAGCGATGTGTGAACCGTGAACCCTGGGAAAAGCTTATGGGGCAAAATGCATGGCGGGATAAGCCTGGCGATGCATATTTTGTGAACTTGGAACTTGAACTGATCAATCAACCCCAAACCGCAAAACAGTCAGAATGCAAAACAGGCCTTGGGTGCTTGCACATGTTGTAGTGTCGCCACGGGGTTCTTCAACAGCGACATCACGCAAGGAGTTGAGGTGCAGACAAAAACACTGCGGGATGAACGCATGGCTCGGTCATGGTGTTTTCGGATTGAAACGCTTCAACTGTCATGAGTTCAGAGATCGGCTGCATGGACCTCACCCATCCCCAACCACATGTCCAACCAATTCTGGCCAGGCCAACCGCACATCACAGCCCGCAGCACCCAACCATCCTTTGCAGCAAAAGGCATCGCTCATGCCAGCCTCCCAGGAAGAATATGGGCAGGGCAAGTGACAGTTGAGGGGCTCTAGATTGGAGGGTGGGCAATCTCTCTAGATTGGAGGGCGGGCAATCTCTCGGCATGCATTGCACTGTTCCACTCAAAGGGAATTGACTAGCATGATGCAGCAGCCAAAGTGGAATTGAAATTGCATGTTGAAATCACGCGCATTTCTAGCCAGTGAGGCCACCTCCGATTTCGAGCTTTCGCGGGCATGAGCGTGTACCCACTGCCCACTTTAGATCACTTCACTCATCGATGAAATGTTCAAGCTTGCTTTGCAAGCAACCCCACAACAGGTACCCCACACCAAGCTGAGCTTGGTGATCAAAAAGCAGATCACTCGGTAGCTGCATATGCCTGCATGGGCATTGCATCACACAGCCAAAAAAGCTTTCGCACATTACATGCGCATTGATATGTGGCTGCACGTGATTGCATGCATAAATGTGGTTCCCGCCTTCTTCGCTAATTGGATGGCATCCTCCCACGACGAACCGCCCTTGATAGCTTCCGACCTGGCCTTTTTGTATGCGCAAGACTTGCGAGAAAGCAATGCTTTCTTCTGAGCTTTTGCCTCTTCACTTGACATGGCGGGGCCCGTCACCTCCCCAGAGCCAGCCCGCTTCTGATCGGGCTTGGAAGTGGGCTTGGGGGTGCCCTTGGCAGCCTTGGCTGTGCTGGACTTAGGATTGGGAGTGTCGGTGTCCATTTCATGGTCACCTTTGTGGGTCTGCCCATTCATGAGGGCTGATGGTTTGCCACCTTTAGGTCGCTTCTTGTTCTCGGTAGCAGTCTCGGGTTCCCTCTTGCTGGTCTCGCGCTTGGCTTCAGACCTTGTACCCCTGGTAGCTGTATGATTCTTCCTTTTTTTGGTTGGCTCACCATCAGCGAGGAAAAAAGGGAGAGGCATCTCCCAAGCCACCAGGTGGCTCCTCTTCTTCCTGTTGCTTGGCTGAGTCGATCCACAAGCTTCAGGGTCATGGGATTCAGAATCATCTACTGTTTTGGTCCTGTTCACTTTTGACGCATTTCTCCCACGCCCCTTGCCGCGCCCTTTGCAGCGCCCTCTGCCGTGCCCTTTGCCGCGGCCACGACCCCGACCTCGGGCGGACTTCGGTGCAGCGCTCAGGTCACCATCGTGATCCTCAGCGTCGACCTGGTCGCCTTTGAACTTGCCTCGCTGCTCGGTTGGTGAGATGGGCTTGGTGCAAGATGCAAGAACATCAGATGGTCGGGGGTTGCCCTCCTCCACGGCAGCATCCGCCTAACAAAGGTTGATGATAGTCCGACCCACTAAGTACATGCAAGCAATACACATTCAAATATCAGTCCACAATCCACACATGAAGTGAACCCCCTACCTTCTTGTGAAGCTCGTTGTAATCCAGGGTCTCTGTTGAAACATGGTCTGGATCAGGTTCCCCAAGGATGAGGGTTTTCTCACGGCAAAGCTTTTGCTCCTGGTAGAGCTTCCGGTTCTCATCCGCTCCCGCATCCCGAGGAGCGCTGGGGCTCTTCTCTGCGGCCACAGATGAGGCAAGATGGTCCATCTCTGCAGGGTCGGTCGGCAAAGTGTCAGTTTGGTCAGTACCTAGGGCATTGTGGTACGGAGTAGGATGTGGTATGGGGTAGGATCCCTTCCCCACTGAAGCCGGTCTTAAAGATGAATCCAAATGCGATTCAAGATGCAGATTGGGGCTGGTGGTTGAGGAACTGGATCGGGCTTCTTACATCGCAACCGTTTTGCAGGCACTGGAGGTGGAGGCATACTGTCGGACTGACATGGGGTTGCCGGCATCCGCCCCTGGGCCGATGCAACCTTACCACAATCCTCCTCCATTCCCCTCTTGGGTTCTGGTTGGATGTGTTGGTTTGCAAAATCCAAGGCTTCACCCCAATCATTTTTGGCCGATTGAACAGCCAAACAAGCCACATCTTGTGGGAAACCCATAGTGACCATGTCGGCAACCATCCTCTCAGCCAGCTCCCGTTTCTTCTGGTCCGTTTCCTCTTCGGCTTCAAGTTGGGCTTGCTCCATCATCAAAGCCTCTAAGATTTCCTTTTCCTGCTCAATGGCGTCTAGTGCTGCCAATTCCTCTTCCATGACTTTTAAAGCCATTAGTTCATCCTCTAATGCTTTCACATTTGGAAGGGTTTCGATTGATTCCGCTACAGGTTCATCCTCCTCGTAGTACTTGGGGGTATCATTGGGTCGAGGGCATTCTGTTTGCATGATATCCCTGATGAACCCAGTCATCCCACAGCGCAAGCATTCAAACCCATGGATCTTGGACTTGACGGTGTAGTGTCCTGGTCGAGGTTCTGCAGGGCCTGGCACAAGGTTCTAGTCGATCCACAACATCCTGCATAGCTAGTGGGCTAGTCGGCTAGTCACAAAAATACCCTTGGACTGTTCGCCTGCAGGTGGAACGCTGCCAGCAGGCGAAGATGATGTAGGTCCACCGGTTGCTGGCGAGCATGTGGAGCTATATCAATGAAAACATAGCCATGCGGATTAATATGCTGCAACATGGCATGGCATATACAACCTGCCTCCATCAGTGCGCATGTTTCCATCACCAGCTTTCCCGCCGGAGTCCTGGGAAGAGGAACCGTGACATGTCATGTGCCATGAATACGCGATTTTAGTGTAGCCTTTCCAAACGTCAGTCCTTCAATCTCATTTGGCTCAACAATGACATCATCCTCAGCCGCCTCACTTTCCCCATCCTCGCCCTCACCCTGAACATCACCACCCTCAGGGTCAGGGTCATCACCAGCCGGAGGTGGCAAAGAATCCCTGCTACCTGAGAAGGCCGGGCTTCGCGGATCTTGGACATCTTTTGAGATTGAAGGTGAATTAATAGTTGATAGCACGGGGAAACACGATGAGCCTAGTTGCCGCTCGTAGTTCGCGGGCTGGCCTCTGGATAACTAATCTCAGCAATGTCCATCAACTGCCGGATTGGTACCTCCCTTGGTCTGTGACCGCGCCGGGCCAATCGGGCAAAAATGAACACCAAGCGCTTGAGGATCCATGCCTCAAGCTTCACCGCTGAACCTCAGCAGGACAGAGGACTCGCTAACCCTTACTTATACCTCTTGGGGCACCTGCGCTATACATTAAACAGGGCCCCCACGTGAAGGAAGTGGTTTCCCCCTGCTCCGGGCAAAGTGCAAGAACATCTCCACTGCTTCCACAATAGTAGACAATGAAGGGCGAAGACCTCAGAAGCCAACCCCTCACTCATTTTACCTTTTATAAGCATAGGAATTGCAATGATTTGGGGGGAGTAGCTTGCATCACTGGACACAGGGGACAGATGGAGGCAAGAAACCCAAATGGCGGATTATAGGTGCCAGGATCTCATAGTTGTGAGCAACTTCTGCACGGTTAAGCTCCCTGTTCTTGGCGATGTTGGCCAAGTAACCACGGCTCCCCCGGGCGCACAGTGCATCACTTGACTTCCACTCATTGAAAATCTCACCGGCAGATGGAGACGACCTACCCTCCATCACACCCCTAAAAGGTCAATCCACTGTGATCCACCTATGGTTTGGGCCAAAAAGTCTGCTGGCTTGAAAGTCGCAGCTGGTCCATGCTGCTTTCGTCCATTGCAACTCTTGAATGGCAGGTGGAACTGAATTGGATGAGGGTGTCTTCATGCGTGCACCTGCACATACACCCACCCATCCAGCCTCCTGCGGGCAATTCCCACAGCTGAGGGCCGGGTTTGGTTGAGAAACAGCTATGCGGCTGTGTGATCTAGGGGTAAGGGATGCGAGGGTGATGATTGAGGGGAATGCCAGCACAACGCTCGAAGCATCAAAGAATGCTCGAGATCTCAAAAACTATATCAAAACCTTGATTGAGCACTTATTACTGCTCGTTGGAGGTCCTAGGTATATTGCTTAATGAGTAGTAGGTGATTAAAAAAAATATAGGGAAACCAATATCACCCTAAGCAAAACCAAATATATAAAATACATCAATTCTGCCCAATGATCCATCATTTAGGACATCATCATTTGTCGTAGCCGTAGCCTAACGACCATGCGAGATCTATATACAGTATATCACACGTCGATTTGGATCTTCACGGCCCGCCCATGTGGAACGACCAAACTGCGGCCACTATCTTTGGGCATCGTCATGTGACGGTCTGTCAACTGGCTAAACTAAAGTGGCTGCACACGAAATATGGCGACTGGTCATGTGCGGAACTGAGGCTCCATGAACTTCAAGAGCTCTGATCCTTTACCCTTCTTTCCATTCACGCTGACCTCGAGAACATGCCGTGTGCCACGGAACTCGCGACAATTCGGATTGCAGTCTGTGTGAGGCTGCTGAAGTGGGCATTTGAGTCATTTCAAGCATATTGTAGTGGCCTCCATCCAACTTTGTCATGGAAACGATTGGGAAGCGCCAATTCTATGGCTCCATGGAAGAAAAAAGCTCTCAATACCGTATTCCATGTCCATGATTCTTGGGAGGAGACATCCCCCTTCCAAAATGTTCCAAGACTCTTTGCTCCACCTGGCCCAGTGGTTTGTAAGGTATGTTTTTGCCAAACATTGTCCCTGAGACTTGAGCAAAACCATTTATGACATTTTATTCCACCAGGCTCTGAAGCCGAAAGTCTTCTGGGACTGCATTGGTCGCTTTACTCAGGACAGTTACTGTTTTGAAACTGCCAGGTGCTGCTTCGAAGTCTACAGCAAGCGCTGCACTCTTCGCCCAAAAGCATATGAACAGAATTGTCCTTGCACTAACTTAGTAACTACCTGGACCCTCCAAGGGGTGTCCAATGGACTACCCCACAATTCCTATAGGCTTCCATTAGGCACCCCTTGGAGGGTCCTGGTAGTATATAACCTGCTACCCAGCAGTTCCAAAGGGGTTGCCGAACGAGCGGAGGATAGGGCTTCTCAGAACATCCACTCACTGGATGGGACTAAACATCACTGCTTTCTGTGACTCCTGGTAGGGGCAAAGTTGCTTTCATCATATCACACTCAATGAACCTCAAGCTGTGGAACCAGCAAACCCAAAGGCGTGTGTGTTGCATTCCCTAGGGGTCCAAGTAACTTCTCAGGTTAGGTGATTGAAAACACTGTTATGAGGTTTAGAGGGTCCAAGTACCTTCTGAGAAGGTACTTGGATCCCTACACGAGGCGGTCGTTGTACCAGGAACAAACCAAGATTTGCAAAGACACTTGGACAAACAGGACTTCCCCCTCCGAATCGGTGGAAAACCAGCTAGACGAAGTTCCTCACTTCGCCCCCAGAAAGGGTGCAGTGGACAAGCCCTCTGTGTTGCAAACAAGCCCTGAGAAGGGGGTCTTGCACCTCAAACATGTAGCAATTTGAGTGTGCAAAGGATGTCTTCCATCTCTCAACACGAACTCATCTGAAGTCCAAGAAAAGGCACCGGGTGAAACGGGTGAACAAGGGATAGGTTTTGGGGTTATTCAAGTCCACCCTGTGCAAAATGGATCAAAGTGGAGACTTGCAATGACTCGCTTGAATTCCTGATAGACTGATGGATACATTATGATACATTTAGTTGGAAAAAAACATGGAACATATATAGATACACAACATGACACAGCTGAGCGATCCAAATCTTTGGCTTTCAAACCATGAAAACAGCAGGTTTGCAAGCTACAAGTCGTTTGTCAACCTTGTGCGCAGAACGCACCTGCAGAACAGCTGTGGATCTACAAAGGGAGGAAGTATCTTTCGAGCGTCCCAGCATGACCAGCAAGTCCATCCCTACGCCTATTCTATTGCCAGCATTACCAGTACCAGCATACTGACTACTTTCGATCGTCCATCCCTACGCCTAGTTTCGTCATTATCCCCAGCGAATCTTCACACAATCAAAACCTGCAGTTTTGGAGAGTTCTTCACGTGAAAAACCCTAACCCACGTGTCTGGCATCCAAGGAACGATGCGGCTAGGCACCTGCAAATCGGGGAGGGCCAGTCAAGATGAACCAACTGAAAATCTGGTGCATGCATAGTGTTCTACTAGACCAGCTGGAGGAATCAATACAAATTAACCTCACCGTACCTCACCTATTGGATACTATATTAGTTTGATCCAAATGGTTCCATATTCATTGATATTGTGTGCTTCCCCGACCTTGTGACCTTGTGGGGTGTTCATGAACTATGGCTTCAGATCTTTCTCCCCCAATTCAGCGGTTTGCTTCAACAAATCAAGCGGACAGGCCATTTTGCCTGAAAGCCTCAGATAATCTCATATATAATCATATATAGTGTTCTTTTCTTGCGCTGTCTTTTTAAATCAAGTGCCCCAAAGGCTATGCCCAGTTTTCTTTCCAATTTAAAACCATGTTGAGGATGCCCAAGTGACTACAAGCGTCTACAAACCATTATAGAAGCACCTGGCACCTGGGGGACAAATTTATGCCTCAGTCCGAGTTGCCTGGGAGGATTCGCGGATTTGGGGGAAATCCGCGCCAGGTAGGAATTTCCGCGGCCAGCAGAGATTTCTGGCCGCAATCAAATTTCAACATAGCCTTTCAAAAGCCATCACCACTGCCTAACACCGACCAGGTTGTCTCTTTCATGATTGCATACCGGACATAGTTTCGCGTCTCAAAATCTTGTTGACTCATGAAACTCACGACAAAATGCAACATATAACATACGTTGCACTGCTTTTGATTTCTGCCTTTTGCCAGGAGTTTGCTGTTGTTTTTTCCCGGGCAATTGTTTCCGGCTTTTTCCCAGGCATTTGCGCGCCAGTTCTTTTTTGACTTTGGACTCTGGACTGGTTTCACTCCGTCTGAGTATATGTTCATTCCGCACAAAAGACCTTGACCTTCCAAAATACAATAACAAAAACACACACATATTTATATATATTTAAATATGGGTGCGGACAAAACTATTTGTTCTTCCAATATGCCAAACTGGGCTCGTCCCCTATCGGTTGTGAGGGTTTGAGCATTTGAAGTGTGATGTCATGATGGTGTCATTTGTGAAGTCTCGTTTGTCTATGTTGCACTTTGTTTACTGTGTGGTGGTGTTTCCAGTTCGGGGCCTGAAGCTATATGAGTACCATTTAAGAGGCTTGTGGAAGCAAACAGCAGGGCTGTGGCTTGGTGTGCTTGCAAAAGGTTCTTGGTGTGCTCTCTTCAGTGTGTGGTGTTGTTGAGCCGGTGCCTGCTGCGCTTTCAGTGCTTGTTGGTTGGCCTTGTATCCATGTCCGCTTCTCAGCTTCTGGCAAGCTATAAACATGAGAGACCTGCGTGAGCACCCGCAATGATATAATGGGACAAGCAAGGGGCACCAAAGCATGTAAATAAACCTGCAAAAAAGGTTATCGGTTAGCATTGGTTGAGAGCGGTCCCTCACAATCGACAAACTTCCAAATACCCAATGGCCCAAGGCAATACATTTGTTTTCAAGCACGGCAGACGAATTTGACAATGGTGTGCTAACCCTTATAAGAACTGCCCCTATTGAAAAGCACCTTGGACTCCAATGCACAGCTATCAAAGTACCAGTGCTAACCCAAACAATCTTGGTAGGTATAGGGGTATCGGCGCTGCGTCGTCCCCTATAGGTTGCCAACGATTTCCTCACCTCTCAAAAGCACAAGGCGGCCTCTTATATATTTAATACTCCAATATTTTTGCCAAATACTCATATGATGACGGCTGCCAGATTTGCAGGCAAGGGTGGAAACTCAAGTGTCGCCATTCTTTCTTTTTCTCATTCAGGTGATATTCCAGTGTTAATGCCCAATGTAAAGCACAGAATCAAATCCTCTAGTCTTTGTCTCACTAGATTCCTGAAAGGAAAAAAACATGCGGCACCAAAAAACTGATTCCGCCCCAGGACGGGTTGGGAAGAGCTGCTTTTCCCGAAAAAAAGAGCTGCTGAATTTCTGCTGAAAAGGATCTTCGTTCGGTATCCAAACAACCATCTGTAACTTCAGTCCCAGCTTACAAATGTCAAAAGCAGGCTCCGACTCCAGCCATCTGCAATCTTTCTGTGACCACTTTTCATGCTCATCAAGCTCTCAACCTCCATTTTTGGAACCACCAATCTGTTCAACTTTAAGCCAATGTAGTTCCAGCGTTGCTCAAAACCCCCCAACGAAAAACACTACACTCGCCCCACACAAAACCAGGATTACTGCGGTCATCTGAGCGGTCGAGCGGTCGAGATTCTGCCTTGACGACGTCCTTCGGGCTGGCGCTCGCGTTGTGGTCGCTGATGGCACCATCGGTGATTCGCGTCACCAAGAGAAAGCTTTGCCCGTCGATGACCTCGCGCGCGCGTTTGAGGTGGGAGTTCGAGGAGGGAAGGGATCGGTGAGATTTGGGGTACGGGAAACATAGAGAACGCCTGGAAGTGCTTTAAGTTATAAGACAAAAAGGAAAGCACGTGATCAAAAAAATCAATTGGTTCAAAACACGTTAGTCATATAATTGAGCATGTCTCCACCTATGACGCACTGTACCAAAATTGAAAAGGCCTGCACCCGTGTGGCGGTTGTCCGGCGCATGGCGCGTGCGGACAACCGCCATGCACGCATTGGTTCATCCAAGTCGCACTAAGGCCCAAGTCCTTCCCATTCTTGCTGACTTGCACCTTCCTCAGTCAGCCGAACAACGAACACGGTGGACTGGTGGACTCATTCTGAAGACTTCGCACGAAGAAGGGCTCGAAAGAGCGAAAAGGCAGCCAAATCAGAGCGGCTCACCCCGGCCTGTACTGATTCACAAAGTTGCCACAAATCAATGAAACAACAAATTGTGTCCATCAATAAAGCCGCAAGTTTGGGTGAAAACTTATCCCCTGTCAATTGACCATGACAAGTTGCCTTCAACCCACCTGAACAAATCATTAAAACCTTTCATTGGGATCATCATCCCAAGAACATACAGTAAGTCAAACAACTCCCCACCCAAAACAACATAAAACCAGGGATCTGGGAGCAAGGATAGCTACATTGTGGCCACCTGATTCCGCATTCTTTATCTAATGAAATATTACCACCATCTTGGATTGTAACACCTCCAAATGGTGAGTTATACTGCCACCCTATGCTGTTTTGATCAGTTTTGCACCCAGCGTCTGCACCTGTGGCCGCTGCACCAGGATGCTCACCATTCCAGTCGCATCCCGGAGCCGTTCGAGCCTCGCCACAGCCGCGGCGTTGTGGCTGTTGACACCGGAGGCTGAAGTCTGTGTAGGGAAGGTCTTGAGATCCAAGAAACACGGTGTGCCAGCAGTCACATGAGATCCATGCCGAACGAACGGAGGAAGTCGGGGTGCCCAGAACATCCACTCATTGGATGGGACGAGTCACACCACCCAACTCCATGTGACTCCTCCCTCAAAAATCTGCCCAAAATACCCTGCAGGTCCGTAAAGCCCCAAATCCTCCCAAATCCAGAAGGGCTATGGGTCGGGCCAGAAGGGTGTGTATGTTACATGAGGTCTCCGCCCGACCCGACCCAGACTGGGTAGACAAATGTTGATTGACCGCCTTCCGAACCATCCAGATACCGGATCCAAACTCGGATCCAATCGGCCAGAATCGCCAAGCTGCATGTCCTTGCCCTTGGCGGGCTTCTCCCCGTTCAGGCTCATCAAACGGTCAAACTGACCTTAGGAAGCTGCATGTGTTCAGAGCCAGTCGTTCCACGGAAAAAATGGGTACAAGATGGTGAGGTTCTTGTTTTTGATGCATCATGTCCCATTTTCTAAGGTACGGACGAATTTGGGATAAGATGGATGCATCCTTGGCGCACTTGCCTAGCCTGGCCTATACTATACAATGGTTCAGTGGACCTGGAAAAAAAACAATGCATCCCCTGTTGACTCTAGACTCTATGAATGAATTCTGCATGCTTCTCCAAAAGAAGGGTCAAAATGGGACAAGCAATTGTGCTTGGATTCGCCCTGCGAAAGGTGATGTGCATAGCAACTTTAGGTGCACGCGTCACATGGGTTGAGGCAGCGGACAGTGGCTCGCCTGTGTGGGTGGGCATATAGAGAGATGTTTCGTTTGCCCAAATCAACAGCACTGAAAGAACCAATGTCAACGTTCATCCATTTTCCCCAGTCAACAAGTCTCACAACTGCGGTCTATGCGACTCGCGCGACTCGCGGGCGCAGCTATATATTTCCCCCCACCGAACAAAACCACCACTGCCGGACGAAAAAACACAGTTCCACTAGTAGTGTCCTTGCTCCTAGAAGTAACCCTAACTTCTTGTTCCTATAGTAGTGAGGCCAGGAGCCCCGTTCGTAGCGTCCTTGCTCCGGGACACGGATCTGATTCTCCGGGATGGTGACTTTCCGGTTCCATTCGCCCACCAGGCTGCCTTCCTCGATCCTGGGAGAGCTTCCAGAGCCGGAAGCCGAGGAGCAGCGGCTTAAGACATGCGGGTGACCGTGCCCAGAAGATGCGCCATCGAACTGAAAGAATTTGACCTATACGACCTATACAAACAAAAACACATAAAATATCTATATACAAGTCCACCCAAAAGGATCCAACAGGTAGGCAAATCCTCGGATTGTTTGGGAGATCTGGGTATCGTGTGGGTCTATGTTAAAAGGTCTCTATATACATAGAAAGTTGCTGGGGCAACCAGCGGCATTTTGCATACAGTATAAGGTTATACATACCTCCCACTGTAATCCGACACAGGTGATTTCCATGGAGTCCGTGGGGGAAGTATATCCAACCCCCCCCATGCCAAGGTTCCCATTGACCATGCACACCTTCCCAGCCGCCGAGATATCCACACCTCAGGTGAGGAACACGATCGGAGCTGGAAGAGTCACCCTATAGTCACCCTCCCCGGATCCCAAGCGGAAACTGCCGCATACCAGGACCCTCCTGTCGGGGTGTCCTGCCTGGACTACTCCACACTACCTATAGGCTTCCATTGGGCACCGCTTAGAGGGTCCTGGTAGATGTGTCTCCAGTCCTAAGCACTTCTCCTGTAAAGGATCTCAGTTCAAACACCGCCCAGATCTTTTCAGGGGGTCTGCCGCATCACGGCATATCTTCATACATCTTCCGGAGACTGAAATATATCGGTGACTGGCAGGAGTCAACTCCAAAAACCAGAGTTGGCAGCTTTTTTTCCTCTTGGTGACTTCCGTGCGACCATTCTCTGGTCAATCTGGATGGTGTGGGGTCAGAACTTCTCAACGCAACGCCGCTCAACCGCGGACCGGAACCTTCAGCGACCGGGGTCGGTCGAGACCGACCCACCTTCGGAACGCGTCGACGCGTCGACGCGATCCGGGGACGCGGGGACCATGACCGAAGCAGATGGCCAAAGGATATCAAACGATTCGTTACTTGTACATGAGCCATGTACATTACATGAGCCATGGCTCACATGAGCCATGGGGTCAATGTCATGACACAAAGCCCACAAAACACATCCATTCTTCCGGTCGGTGCAATCACAATTTGCAGGCTTAGCCCAATAAAGCATGTTGGTGTCAATTTGTGTCACTTCTGCGTCATTTTGCTGTTTTCTATGGCTTTCTGCGGCATGTTCTCCGGCGAGAGGGAAAAAGGACTCAAAAAAGGACCTCTTTTCAAAGCAGATTGGCTATCATAGATGAATTCTGAACCATGTGGGATGGGTCAATGTCCTGCCGACCGAGGTGCCGAAGCTGGAGCCTGCGGTGCGGTTCAGCTCCACCTGAGCAGCCGCTTCCGCGCCCCAACGAACGGATCGGACGGATCGGTGGCAAAGTGAGTCGTGGGAGTACTGTTGGAGGGTGGCTTTAATAAACATCACACACTGTTCATGAAGCAAGAACTCTGGACTTTTAAGAGGCACACATCTGAAGCCTTGGGTCGTAAGCATGAGTGCAACTGATGGTTGATACAGGGTCCCTATATATATATAAATAGTAAAGTAAAAACACATGATGCATTATCATCATGATACCTTTCTTCGTGAGCGGTTGGAAATGGGAAACGCCAGACTTGCACCCAGCAGACTTAATTCCTCTCCTGGACCGATCCAGAACTGAGTGATCCACATGTGGCCCCCTGGCACCCCAAAGGTCCAGCTTAAGACCAAGCGCCGTAAAAACGAGGCAGGGCACAGGTGCCACGTCCTGCAAGCGCAGGCAAGGGAAGTATGATTTTGGTTCTCTGAACTTCTAGAACAACAGTCACGAATTCGAGTGCAGCTGTTCTTTATGTCCCCTTGTCTGGACTGGATCCTTCTGCCTTCTACCCCTCTCATTGGACAGCACACTTCCCGTCTTCTCAGCACCAGACTTAAAAGAAGGTCGTATGAGACTTAAAACATGCCTTCTCAACATGATCCTCCCTCTCCCAAGAATTACCCAACCCAGGTGTAACCTTCTATTGAAAGTAGCTGACAATCCGGAACAACATCCCGAAAGCACGTAGAACCTCAAAACATGCGCAACTTCATATATTCTTGCACTACCAACTGCCAACATCTAACAACCACTTAAATGATAGATATCCCTCCCTTCACTGAGGCACACCAACAAGAATCCTTCCATATATACATGCATATACATGCTATACGCATTTGTTGGGGGGATCAAATGGAAAAGAATAACCAAAAAGGGCCCCAAGGAATCCAAAAAAACAGATGTAGTGGATTGAGAGTTTTTCGTAGATGTCATAAATGTCCAAGTTCGATGGTTTCGTCCTTAGACATCTTGGGGGTGCCAGTGCCACACTGCAAAACCATCGTCTCACCGTCTCACCTCCATTTCACCTGTTTTCCGTTTTATTGCTTTCCATTTCCCCCAGTAGGCTGCTGGTAGACTGGTCTATGTTCAGGAGGTCTTGGTTTCACAAAATGGAAGGTGTCCCTATTTGGCACAGCCAATGGCATACCTCTCATTGACCCCTGAAATCAACCGCCCCACCTGATCGGTCCATGTTCGGTTCGTCCGGAGTGGGTCCGGACGGGGCGGACCAACACAGCGGTGGTTTCATCACCCACCTCGGACCTGAAAACAAGGCTGAACATCGAGTAGACCACACTCAGCTTGGGCAGGAGTTTTGTTTGGGGACAGGACACCCATGGAAAAACGTCAGCAGGACTCGCCGAATCGCCTGGCCAGGCAGGACTTGGTCGGTGTCGAAGGTCACGGGCCTCATCCTCGAAATGGTGCGGAGGTGTGGGCTGTTCGGGACGAAAAGCGAACCGGTTTGGATCATAAATCCCATGTATGCCGTATATGCCGATCAGTTGGGGTGGTTTGGGGGGGTCAATGTAGGCATATATATATATGGCATACATGGAGTCCATGGAGTGTCTGGGAATCATAAAATACTTTAAAATAAACACATGTTGAATCCAGGGGGTCAATGAAAAGGGGTTCAATGTTTGGAGACCTGGCAGGAAGAAGGTGCTGGTATAAGCTAGCATACTAGCCAGCGTCGATTCTCAGTCCAATGCAGTGTCTGGGATTTGCTGCTTCTGGTAGCTGTAGTGGGTATCTGTAGAATGCGTGGCTGGCTTGGGAAACTGGCATCTTTGGCGGCCGAAGCGACCATGGACACTCAAAGACTTAGTGCGCCTTGTGCACCCAGTAGAGAGAGTATATGAGTAAGCCTGCCAAATCAGTGTTTAATCATGCCTCCTCCATGTGTCCTCGATGTTATATGTTTTCAAATCCACAGTTTCACAGCCCCTGCGACGAACACCCAAACAATCCCACAGACGGAATCGTCCAATGAGGTCCATCCACCGGACCTCGGTCCAATCTGATCGGACCTCGGTCCAGTCTCATCGTGTTGTGCGCATGGACCACGTGGGGCGCATGGACCTGCTCCACGCACCCAATCGGCGCAAGTCTTCCAATTGGACATCCATTGGCGATGCTGGTCGGTCATGCTGGCTGGTCAAATCCAAGGACTGGCTCTTTGGACACTGAACCGCAGAAGTCCTTGAACATGCAACATACTTGAAACCTATACTTCCCACCGTTGCCGTGATCTTTTCTTCTTGAGTCTCGTTCACAAAGCAGCTGCACTGGGTCTGTCCAGTCTCACATCCCTGCTGAGCGTCTCCGTGTCGCCCTCCGTGGCTTCAGCGCAGCAGAAGAACCTCGGCCACCCCCATGGACCGACAGCGGCACCGCTCTCCCAATGGAGTTGTTCCACATCACCGAGTCTGTGGTGAAGGTCAAGATGCCAGTCCCAATAAGGGGGAGTGTCTGGGAAAGGTTGACCTCCAGTATCCTCCAGTTAGTGTAGGGTAGCATAGGATGAGCCAGGTGAGACGTTGGATGATCCAAAAACACTCAGGGATGGCCGCTCACACTGCATCCGCTCTGCCCGGTCTTTCTGTTTGACCGCTGCTTTGTGGCGAGGTCTCCCTCACACCGGACCGGCTGTACGGCTCTTTTGTGGGGTCTTCACCTTTCCATCCCATTGAAGTCTGCGCCACAAAATCCAGACTTGGACACCCCAAGATCCCCAAGCCTACCAGGGTGATCCAATGGGTGTCCAATAGACTACCCCACCCTACTTACAGGTCTCCAGACAGGGCACCCGTTGGAAGTGCTAGGTAGAGGGCGATTTCGAAGGGTGAAGAGAAACATCCAAGACCTGACCGGACCTGGTCGCAGATCCCGCAGAACATGATCGTCTGACTGGTCGGGTCACAGATCCTCTTCAGAGGCGCTTGGCGTGAAGGCCTTTGATATTGGCTTGTTGACACATGCCTAGCGGATCCAGTTACCACTATAGCTCATAACCAGCGGTGCCAAAGACTATGGACCATGGACCTAGGTAGCCTAGAAACCCTGGCCTTACTCATCTAGCGGTAACTAGGATCCTATGTCAAAAATGATTGCTTCGACTTGTGACAAGCCATGTGACAAAACATCACTCTCTCGTGACATCACTCTCTCGTGACCCATGGCCAGGCCAAGAAAAAACTGGCCTCGCCAACACCGGGTCCATGGCCCAGGTCCGATCGAAACCGCTCCGTCCACCCCACGAGTCCCAAGGGACATGGCTCCACGTCACCTGATGGGCGGGCGCGATGGGGTCGCCGATCGCAGGAACCAAATAGCTGCGGAAATGCGAAAAGCGGAAAAAAGAACACAGAAATTCAGTCGCACCAGGAGTGACAAAGGGGTGGTGTTCAGTGCCAAAGTGAGTTGAGTAGCTGGGCACCCCACCAACTTCTATCAAGCACACCACTGTGGGACTGCTGGTGCATTGTAGAGTTTATTGGCAGGTCACTTGACACGCCGAGAGCCGATCCGAACTGGATCTATGTAATTAGTGCCATCTACTCTGAACTCAGTGGTTGAGGATCTACTCCACCACAAGACCATGCGCCTGGAGCCCTGTCTACCTCAAAGCCGTGCTTCACGAGGTGTGAAGCTGATGGAACCCACTTTTTTGAGGATTAACATGGAACCTGAAAATGAACAAATGAAAGACTACTATGTTACGATGTATTCCTCTATAACCCAGTGAGTGCCCATGTGGGTCCCTTCACATATTTGCTTGGTGGACTTGGGGTATAGGGGATAACAAACCACAAGAGGATAGCATATCATAGGCTCCCTCCTCATGCCATCAACTCGTTATCCCCAGTTATTCACATGAGCGCTCACACCAGCGAAACCGCGTTCGAGTCGCCGGTGCCGCGTGGTCCAACAAACCACGCGGTGCGCGCGTCGTGCCCACCGGCGTCTCGGTCGTTGGGGTCTGCTTGAGCCAACAGCGATCGATGGATGCACAAAATCCATCAACATCTGGTGCCTATATAGTGTATTTGTTCTCAGGTGGGCCCGGCAGTGACAAGAAAGGGATCAGGTGCATGTGCAGAAATATGAATATGCAAAGAACAATAATGTATATAATCTATAGTCCTGTATACAATATTCCAGTAATAGCTTGGAAGAGACATCTGTTGGCAATAGATAGGCGCAAGTAATGATTTAAGATATACAGGATATACATGGATATACATCATGGATAGTGCAACTCCTGTCCCGGCTGTGCCACAGACTTGTTTGATCAACATTCGGCATCAGAAGTGCTTGGGGGCAGGTCAGGGACAGTTCACTGGGTAGCCCATTGACTTGGGAGTTCATGAGAGATGCACTGCACTCACGGTGGGCATGTGGTGGGTGACATGGGTGGGTCGAACGGCGGACCTAGTTCCCTGAGTAACTCCAAGGCACGGAGTGGTAGACATATGTAGACTCGAACGAGACTCACAACCCGCTCCATTTAGACATATATGGTAAATAATTGTAAATCCTCTTCATATATATATATATACATATGTTTAAAAATGATGTATTAGTATAGGGCAGGGGTTTAGTATGGTTTAATATACTTTCAACTAAACACATCAAATGAAGAGTCTACATGATGCCTGGTCCGTTTCCACGCGCTCAACGTCGCTCCATGGCACTCCCAGAACTCCGGTGCACCGGTCCTCTTCGGACCGTGCGTCTCGCCAAACGCGACGCTTTCGCACGATGAACGCAGCCCGTTTACGGCCCTCAAGCTCAAAGACCGAAGGAGTATAGAAGGCCGGTGAACCAAATCCGAAAGCATGTCGCAGAATGCCCCACTGCTTTAGTTGGTTTCTTTTGAATGGTGTCCGGCGATCTCCCCCCGTCCCACCGCGTGGAAAACCCCTCTTTTCCGCAGTCCAGCTGTGCTCTGTCGTCGCTGGGCAGCCGGCAGACCTGCCTCCTCCTTAGCCCTTTCGGCTTTTGCTGCGATGGCCTAATCGCCAAAGGCATCTTCAGGTCTCTCGTCTTAAAACTCGTGCAAAGCCACCAGGGACTTTGTTGGCACCAATGTGGGGCGGGTCTGGCAGGACTGGGACCACCAAAGTGGTGGTTGCTTGGTACAGGTGGGAGATCCAGTGGAAGATGCTTATATATATATATAAGGCCTTCTATATGTGAATATCCCATATGAATCGGGGAGGATGGGGAGCCACCTGGAACCCGGAACTTGCAATCAATACAACAAACTGGGCATGGTTGACTTTTATGTTGCAAACATACAAAGTCATCCAACGCCTACAATCTTTAGCATTCCAAACTTGTCTAATAACCGAGGATGGCTCCTTTTGGACGATGATGGCTCCCACATGCTCCCACTCTCAAAGCTGGAGCCACTGCGTGGCGCGGATCAACTGACGAGGTGCACTCATCACGCTCATCCCCTCTCCTGCCAAGGAATCGCTCAGCTAGGGGGGTTGGGCATGGACGATGGACACTTCGAGCGTCTCATCATCGGACATGGAGTATCATGGAGTCCCCTCCAAAGGAACCTTCTGGTCATCGCCCACATCATTCCTCTACGGGGTCGCAGGGAGACAACCACGAAGACCCCGCTGGCAGTGAAAGTCGTTCAAAGATCGCCCGAATTTGGAGCACCCAACTCACTCCATGTCGTGTGATGGGACTAGGTGACCCCGAAACATCCAAAGGCGTGCATAAAAGTAACCCAAGGTCCGTGCTTGGAAACTGACTCTGCCAGAGATCCCTGGAATACTTGGATGTGCTGTCCAGGAACCGGGAAAAAAACACAACATATTCCCCAGAAGAGGATTTACCCATAAGGACAATCATATACAAATCACCTTCAGCAAAACCAGGTTCACCGGTTACGCTTTCCACCTGCTCTTGTCGGTGGTGAAACCCATCCCCCCCAGGCGGCCCATGGGCAAACGGGCGCAAAGCACGGCGAGCGGCGTTTGGAACGCCCCCGGCTGTGCTGGGCGAAAGAACATCCGAACGGAGGCAGATTGGTGAGCACAACACCTGGGAGGGATACACAAATCACCCCCCACATCAAAACCCTACAATGGCAGCCACAAATCAAGGATGGTAAAGAAGATCCACTTATACATGACCTGCCCGTTTGAAAACGGGCTCACTTCGTACCTGTCTCTGGTGTTGGGTTCCAGAGCACATTTGAGGTGGCACCGAACGGAGCCCAAAAGGGCCCCTCGGTTCGATATCCATATGGGGACTGCAAACCACATCAGTGTCTCACTGCTAAACACGTCAGACCTCGGCCCGCAGCCGTAGCGGGACCCACGTGATTTTTTGCTCACAAACATCCACTTGGATGACTCGCCAAGCTGGTGAGGATCGATTTCAGGGGTTTTGGAGGGGCAAGGCCCGTGGCAAACATTTTCCTCTACAACCAAGTGGTTTTAGGGTTCAATGTTAATCTGCAGGGGAGTTGGTGGCAGGTGGGTGAGACAAAATCATCGACGAAGGTGGCTCAGTCAGCACCCTCATTTTCGCCGGCCGGGCCCAGAAGCAAGTGCCATGAACATCCATAAAATACCACTGAGGATGATGAGGCTCCTGAGTGGGAAGATTCATCTGGATATTGTGAGGCAATGACAACAAACCATCAGCTGGTCAGTGCTGCCAGAGAGGTCACGAAAAGTGAAGACACTTTATAAAGACCTCACATGCTCCATGACGGTGCTCTTGTCAACCACGTCACCAAACTTGGCATTGATGTCAAAAAGATTGGACTCGTGAATGCTCTGAGTTCGGTCCCCTACACATTCACGTGGCACAATACACCTGAAGCCATGCTGCATGCCATCCAGTACAGATGCTCGAATACATCCGCTAGTGGAGCATCCAATAATGATGCAAGTATCAACATCAATGGCGCGGAGATTGCAAGCCAAATTGGTGCCAAAGAATGCCGAGGGATATTGTTTAACTATGACGTTGTCTCCTTGATGCGGTGCAATGCTCTCTTCAATTTCGACCATTGGATTCTCCTTGGTCCAAGTCCGCAGCAAAGCAATCTTCTGGGTGAACACCCCGCCGTCACTGGGATGTCCGTAACACACCTGGGTGTACACAATCGGAACTCCTTTGGATCGGCAAAGCTCAATCAAAGGCTTCGACTCTTTGATCGCATCAGTCACTCCAAAGCCACGGCCGTTGCAATAGAAGGGGCTGCTGGGAGTGACATAAGCTTTGGTGAAGTCTATGACAATCAGTGCGACTTTCCGTCCAAAGCCCAGCTTTCCATCAAAGACACCTTGGTAGTTCTCCAGATTCTGTAAGGCCTTGGCAGCGGTTCCGGGGACAAAGAATCCAAACACTCCATTGAGGTGGTTTCAGGGTCAATATTGGCATATCTTCATATGCCATACATGGATATAATACATGGAATGTCTGGGAAAGAAACCTCTCACATATCATAAATTAGTAAATTTTGGGATCAATCCTTAACAGCAAAAGAGACTGAAGTGACTTCGTCCTTACAAACAGCCCCAAAGACCTCAGAAGGTCTCTGGGCCCGGCATTCTGATCCACATCCAAATCCCCCATCCGTTTGGGGCGGACCTTTGTTCTGCCCCAGGATGCAGAAGAATCATGTGGTCACTGCAGTGCTTTCCAGGAGTGCAGTCCCGACGAGCGAGTGGGGACTTCTTCTTCCACCACGCGAGAAGCGCCGATCGGGTGTTCCCGAGAAGCGCCCCCACTCAAGACCGGAAGCGCCGAGAGGGGCTCTAGGCGAGACAAGGATGCCGCGATCTCCACAAGAATCAACCAAAATCACCGGAAACATGGATTCTTTGAGGGTCATGACCCCTCCTTTCGAGGATCAACCCTGATCCATAAGCGTTTTCTGAGGGAAGCTTCTTGGGTGATCTCAGATCCGGCTTTGCGATCCCAAAGGGTTGCGGCCTTCAGAGTGGATGGCACTGGCACCCCTGCATGTCTTTTAGATGGGTGTCTAAAGCCACCTTTGGGGGATTGGGCCGTCTACTCTGAAACCACTGTACTGGTTCTTAAGCAAAGCCACCTCAACTCCACATGGAACATGTCCTGCTCCATCAGCTTGTTCGCTGCACAAGCGCTTGCTCGGGCGACTGGACATGTCAGTACCCAAACCTCACTTGTTCCAGGGAGACATATTTAGGGCTGTGGGATTTAGTTCAAGCAGCCTTGCAAGAAAACACTATAGTCACTAAAAGGCAACCTCCACCTTCAACCAGAATCTAACCAGCAGTAATCAAAACGAGTCTTCAGCAACCTAAGTGTCCAAGAAACTGTTCAAATAGTCCATGACCACCTTCTTACTGAGTACATCCCCATTCTTGGCATTCATGTCAAAAAGGTTGGCCTCATGGATACTCTGAGTTCGGTCTCCAACGCACTCGCGCGGCACGATGCAGCGGAAGCCATATTGCATCCCATCCAGCACGGAGGAACGGATACCTGTCGTACCAGTCGGGCCAGTCGTTTCCAGTCGTTTGGGTGTTTTTTGGCGGCGTGGACTGGGCTGAAAACAATCTAGAGGAGAAGGCGAGATGAGTGGTGATGCCAAACTTCATATTCAATATTCAACTTGTGGCTGTTGATGACGATGATGACGATGATGATGATGATGATGATGATGATGCTGATGATGATGATGATGATGATGATGATGATGATGATGATGATGATGACGGATGATGATGACGGATGATGATGACGGATGATGATGAGGATGAGGATGAGGATGAGGATGAGGATGAGGATGATGATGATGATGATGATGATGATGATGATGATGATGATGATTGGTAAATACCTGTATACTAAGAATAGGTTTGTTGCACAAGACAGCTTTCGGTGTTAGTTGGGTCAAGTGTCGCGAAGCAGCTACCGTGTTAAACATGCAAGTGGATAAGCTTTGCAACCGTGTTACTCTCAAACAAAAGCCGTTCAACGGTGTCCAAGTCGGAGTATATTTAAAAGGTCCTAAGATGTCCTAAGATAAAGCATAAAGCCAGTCTTCATAAGGGCAAGGGACATCCACTGGTAGAGCAGCCGACAATAATGCACGTATCCACATGAATGGCTCTCAAGTTGCACGCAACGTTGGTGCCGAAAAAGGTGGACGGGTACTGCTTCACGATGATGATATCAGTCTCACAAGGCTTGATGGAATCGTCGATCTCAACCAAAGGATTGTCCTTGCGCCAGGTCCGCAACCTTGGATGACGCCATGTCCATAACTGCCAAGGACCTTTGCCAAAAACACAAGTGGGTGTAGATCTATGAGGGTCACAAACTGCTTGGGAACTGAATCGAGAAGGTTATCCAAGATTCTTACTCACTGGGGTACATCCAAATCCACAGAACCCGTTGAGCACTGTGGCACACCAAGTCACAGTGGCACTTTCTGAGCGAAAACACCTCCATCAGTCGGGTGCTCATAAAACATCTTGGTGTAGATGATGGGGACTCCTCCCACATCCAAAGCGAGTTTCAAGGTCCAACGAGCTTTGGATATAGACGTTTTCAAATGAGGTCCGGCCTCCAAGTGAACCCCCAACCCGACAGCACTTGACGGGATCTTGGCACATTGATGCACATTGACCGACCAGGGCCTCAGGGGTGGTTGATTTCAGGGGTGGTTGACTGTCAACATCTTCTGAAGACCCATGGAGTCTCCAGATCTGATCAAGGATCCACGTGGATCGTGGACAAGATCGGTCTAAAACAGGCTGAGGTTAGGCTGCATCGAGGCTGAAGCGTTTGAGGAGCAAAACAGTTGGTACCGGCGGCATTGTACATGCTTGGCTGTCCAGCCCCTTCCTTAGGGTTCAACAATGAAATCATTGTTTGTACCACAGGAATATGGGCAAATGACGCTATGCTTGTGGAAAATTGACATCGAACCAGCAGTGATATCTCCAGTTCCTTCATTCCCACTGCCACTGCCCTCCACCACGCTCCTACTCTCCTTTGGATCGAGCAAGCTCAATGAGCGGTTTGGCTTCCCTGATGGCATCGGTCACTCCGAAGCCTTGGCCATTGCAATAGAAGGGGCTGCTGGGCGTGGTGTACCTCAGCCACGCCACGAAACCAACAAGAAAAGCAGCTGCAGCTGGTGCAACAGGGTGCAACAAAGCAGTAGATTCATGTAGACTCGCTGCAATTGACACACATGGAAGCTTGGTGCTTCACCAACCTTTCACGGCACCTCTTGCCCTCGCTATTCAAAGTGGTTCAATACATGAAGGAATCATCAGTGGTTCAGGGTACCTTCACTCACGAAGGAAAGCTCCATGGAAGTGGACGGCATGGTCCGAAAGCTAAAGCTACAGTACTTTCCGTTACAAACAGGTCTTCCACTTCCTCCTGAGAGTGAGTCGCAGTGAGTCAAAGGGTAAACATGCCAACTTGGACTCACGTGAGTCGTATTCTACTTTGAGTCGGTCGGACTGCAGCAAAAAAAAACACTAGACTTCCAACCCTAGCCGTCCGTGAGATTGTTTGAAAGGTGATGCCCTCTTTTTTGTATTTATTCTAGGACTAGGAGAAGGTCTTGCTCAGAAATCACTTCCATGACCATTTGAAAGAAAGCTTGGCCTGACTTCAACAGCCTACATTCAAGTCTAATTACAGTACATCTTTTCTGAAAACACCAAGTCCTGGCTTTCTGCGTGTTTTCGGTCCCTTTCGATCGATTTTTCCAAGTGACGCTTTGGTGAAGTCGATCACCAGAACTGCCGCCTTCTGTCCAAATCCCAGTCTCCCATCCAGAACGCCCTTGTAGTTCTCAACGTTACTCGTCATCGAACCCGCCGCCGAGCTCTCCCAGGCGACCACGACCAGTGAAGCGCTCGGTCCGGATGCAGAAAAAGCGGTATGTGCCAGCGGCTTCGGTTCTTTGTCTACTTTGTGGCTTTATTCGGTGCATGTTGGTACTGGCTTCGACCATATGGCATATGCAAAGAAAAACGATTTTGTGTGTGTTTTAAAGAAGGCCTTGGATGCCGTTCTTGGGCGATTGGAGTCGAGGGTATTGAACACCGGTCCCACGTGGCTGAAAGACAAATCTCTGGGACATGGGTTGATTGCGTTCAGATATGTTCAGATTGAAAAACAAAAACATTATCTGTCCACTTTCCATGGGCAGCTTGATCAGCAAAGCCACCAAGAAGCAATCAGCGTCCAAATGCAGTTGTCCTCAGGTCCATCCTTATATGAAACAGTTCCAGTCCCAGGACTCTGAACACTTCACGTTGTTGGAGTGTCTATGGCAAAAAGCTCGGGTTATCGGGTTATATTCCCTATATAACTGGTTGCAAACCCTTGAAATGTCAACCACAGTAGTACCCTGCTGAAAACCAACATGGACCCCGAAAACCACTGGCTTGTAGAGAAAAACAACCTTTGAGAACCCCATTCTCAGGATCCATGTTAGCTTTCCGAAGTGTAAGTGATGTGTTCAAACAACAATTTCATGAGTCTAAACGGGTTGGCATATTGAACCATTGATCCCCCACTGATGGAGATTCCCAGGCGTCCAAGTAGCATTTCGCACGGGAATCTACCTACAAAACATTAAAACTTGAAGGTATAGATCTTCCCCCACTGAGTAGGACAAAGTATCTGCCACCTTCTTCTGAGCCCAAGCAAACATCTTGAAATGGCATGGAGCCGTAGCGCCCGTGACGGAGCTCAGCATTGGCTCATTTGACCATATTTGACCATTGTTTTGATAGGAAAGGGACCTATGTTGGGTGGTGAGTGATCCAAAAATAGAGGTCACTACTATAGGTCACTCAATTTCAACGTCAGCTTCACGGGCCAGTCGACGCGGCGACCAAACCAACGACGCGGCGACCAAACCAACGACGCGGCTCTCCTCGGAAGGCGGAGACCTCAGCGCACGGAGTAGATGCTTCTTACTCTTCAAACGCTTTGCTTTTTGGGGCTTGGCAAGCAAAAACAGCAAGCATTCCAGAGTTCTCATCCTATGGAACTTCCAACAACGAAAGGATTTGCGATGTCAAAAGCAACAAGGGACATGGGATAAACATCTGTACCCTTCAAACCCATTTGATCCCCTAGGTCGACATACATACATGAAACACGGCCATAACTTTCTGTACATGGATCACTCAGCTTGCTTGTATCCACTCTTGTATCCCTGTCCGTCAGTTTGGCAGAGATGTCTCTATATGTCTCTGCTGCTAACCCTCCCAGGGCGGCAAGGACACCAAAACCATTTAATCGACAATTCACATCGAGCTGGTCAATCCAACCGTGGAACATGGTCATGTTTGATTCATCGGATGCTTTTGACCATAGCCACGAAACACATACCTTCGAAAGGGGAGTCAGCCCGGAGTAAGAGCTTGAGGAACCGAGACAAACTATAAACATGATGCCCCGGGGTGAGGGAATTCACGCATGGGGAGAATAGAAATACCCCCAAGCAAAACCAGGGTAAGCCTGTAAATACTGTAAATACAGTACAAGTACCGGCTCTGAAGATGAGACAGTGGCAGGGACGATCTAGACCGGACGGTCGGAGCATGTCTTTGGCAGCTGCAGCGCAAACATGCGCAAACACCGCTTGTTTGGTTTGACGACTGGCTTCACCTTCACCTACAGTCTTGACAAAAATGGATACGTGTCTTCCAGTGCCTGTGCTTCGATCTCCTTGCTAAACAAGTCTTCCATTCAGTGGTGTCTATTCAATCCTTGAAGAACTCATGGAAGTGGAGTCCTGGTTTGTATTCGGACAATGGTCCTTCATCCAAGGAGCCATGTCATCCACGTAGGTATCATTATTTCAGGGAGGACAACCCCCTTTACACTCCCAACAAGCAGAATTGGCTTATATCGTGTGGCCAAAGATCTTGCCCAGTCCAGAGGTTGCCTCCTCCTGGCCCTTCTCTTTTTCTTGCGCGTACAGTAAGTCGATTGTATAATCTCCTCTTGCACCAGCCCTTCAGGCTGGCTGAGAGATGAGATTCAGCTTTTTGCGGATCAAAACCTTCATCAGCCCACAGCTTCAAACTACTCCAAGGGACTAGGACCAAAACTGAGTCATCAACGTGGAGATCACTGGACCATTTGGACTATTTAGACCCAAGTAGTAGAATGTGTTGAACCATGCAAAAGAATCCCCAGGCCCACAAATAACAGCCGTGGCTAGATCATGGGGGCGGAGGTGTCCACATATATCTTATATATCCCATTCTATTCTCCGGCTACGTGCTGTACATCGTCTGAGCTGATCTGATCCCTATCAGCAGCAGCTCTTCTTCGCCCTGGGGGCTGCAGGGTCGTCCGCTGCTTCACCCTCCTTTGGCTCATTGGGCTCACCTGTGGACGGTCTGGGATGTCAGCAAATCATCTGAGCATCTTACTGAACCCAAACCACAAAGAACCTGGAGTTGGTGAAGGAACCACGACAAGTTCGTCAAGGAACCACGACAAAACAGCGACCCAAGCCAAACAAGCGATCCATAGGTATACAGGTGTTCCAATCCAAAGGCTTTTGATCACTGTCATCAAGCTTGCAAGCATGGGCAGTGCAAGTCAAGCTTGAGAAGGCTTTTGAAAACAACCACTTCTCGACTGCCGAGGCTTGCTGGACGAGGCTTGCTTGACAACGCTGATTATCCTGGACTGGTCAGATGACAAACGGATGAAAGCTCGCATGTTGGAACACGATGGAACACGGCATTCCAGTGGATGGACCAAATCTGAAATCTTCGAATGTCTATTGTCTCCTGACCACATCGACACGAAGTTCAAGCATTAGCAGCCTTAGCAGCCTTAGCATCATTGCGCCCAAACCTGGGAGCCCTGACCTCGCCCCCCTCCGCTCCCAACCCTCCTCTCCATACGATTTCGAGCAGCCCAAATCCATGCCCGTCAGCGTCTCGCCCACGACCTCACTCGCGGCTTCACGCGACGATGGCGAAGTCGCGTGAAGAAGGTTGGTGAGGTGGTACATGGGACATGAAGATTTAAAGTGAACATGACAAATCGAATGCTGATTCTTTGGCGCGAACACCTCTGGTGCCAAGCTTCTCTGCAAAGAATATGAACCATCATAGCTAAAGAGCCCCTAATATAGGCGCTTGGCCCGGAACCCCATCATCTCCAATGCCAATGACCATGATCTGGTGAACGCACTCTCTTGAGTCCAAAAACCCTCTTGGAACTGGTGCTGTTCAGATGTCACAAAGCCCAAACGCCGCCAAGAAGGTCCAAGGACTTGAGGTCCAAAACCACCTGCCCCATCTTACCTACCAACGGGTCGAGTGCGGCCCCCCACAGCCGGTGAAGTTGGAGCCCGAGCTCTCGACGTCTATACCCACTGAAGGAGGTTTCCCCTACCACGAACCATGGGACTGGCATAGTGGCCAATAAACGGCTCGAGAGGTGGTTGAAAACGGGGTCAATGTACTGTAGTCATAGCAAGTGATAGCACATGATACATGGAGTGTCTACGTTCGCAAAAAAAAAACATGGTGGACAAACATGAGCCAACGCACCATCTCCACACACCCTGCTCCACTCAAAGTAAAGACTGGAGTTGCCTCAAATCTCTTCGCGACCTTCTTCATGTCTCCAAAGAACTTTTCCCTCAGTTGCCACAACTCTGGAACCTAGTAACTAGTGGCCTTTCGGGCTGTGGGTCAATGGCACCCGGAGCCGGTTTCACCACGAAAGATCCACAGCCAAATAAATAGCACATGGTAGCACTCTGGCCCACCATTCATTGATGTAGTGGGTTTAATCCCGAACAACCTGTATTTCTAAGGGTTTTAAGATGTTTTAAGCTACCAAATCAGGTGACCCGTTCCTTTCATGGTCGGTTCGTCCAGGCGCAAGTGCCGTCTCGAGAACGGATGTGGGACATGAGGTACACCGTGGACTTTTCCGCATCGATGCGTCTTTTCGGAGTGTCTCCTACGACCGGATACGGATAAGGCAGGCTCGAACATCATTTAACCATATTTAACCAATCAGGTGCCCAGCCCCTACCTATTCATCTGCGTGAAGCCAATCTACGAAATATTCAATCCCTTGACCACATTCACTTCCCCCCAATCCCCAAGGTCAAGGTTGACATTGTTTCCGGAGACGAAATGGCCGAAGGGACGAAACTTGGAACATTGAGATTTGGGGTGTGGGGTCCATGGAGACAACGCAACGTAACATCTGCTGTAGGGCCCCAACCGCCCTCAAAATTATATAGGAACTGGTCTGGGACTTCTGATCAAATTCCCCCATCGCAGGGGCTTCCAGCGCCAAGTGACTGCAGATTGTCCAGCACTTGCTGTGCCTCTGACAGCTTCTCCTCAGCATGGCGCGCTGCTGCGAGCCGAGCATCGGTGGCTCTGACATGCGGCTATGGCAGCTATGGGTCAAAGATGCCAACAAGTTCCAGAGATTTCATGGCGCCCCAAAGTGTCTTATGCACAGGACGCACTAGTAAGTGGGTATATAGTGGGTAGTCTTCATGCGCCTTATGCACAGGATCAGGCAACAAAATACGTACCTTCGCACACTGATACGCCAGTCACACACGCCAAAGAACGCCAGCTTTGCGCAACTCGCGGTAGGCTCTCAGCGCAAACCTGAGCTTCGAGGGTGGGCGGAGGGCACTTTTGGGCTAGGACGTAGTACCGTCCCTAGGGCTCCTGGCCCATAGCCATAGCCTCAGGTTCGGTGGTTAGACCCCCCTGGCACCCACCCCAACCACCAAACCTCAGGAGTAGTAAAGGATCATACAAATACCACCTGAAATCGAAGGACCAGTCTTT